ATCCAGCTCTACACCTTGTTATCTCAGATTCTCCAGCATCTGCAGTTCCTACTATCTCTGAAGGTCTATTCTATGTATGATTTTAAAACAACAGGATTCAGTTCAAGAAAAAAAGTAAGTAAATTACTTGCCAGTGAATGATGAGGTTCTTTACAACGTCGTCCTGGAGATTTGGGTTAGAGGAGAAAGCTGTCCTAAAAGATCAGTCAGCAACAACAAACAAGGTTGATAGGGCGATCCAGAACTTGTGGCTGGAATGGCACCAACAACTGTGACAAAGACAGCGATAGGGTCCAAATGTCTATGTTACTGGCATCCAAAGGATGTTAACACTGCTTTCTGAAGGTGCAGTTCTAGGTCTTGACTGGATAAAACTGATCAAGCCATGGTGCCTTATTTTAAGCACTGAGGGATAGTGAACAACACCTGTGCACAATACTTATTTGGCCGTCATTTTACCCGTGACCCAATCTATGCCAAAATGTTAGTGTTAATGTGAACTGATCCCCGAGTGCTCAGTGACTGGACAAGTATGAGGGAGTGTCAACCTCTAAAGAAGAACTAGTCAGTGTTCCAGATGCTCATGACACATTCTCTCAGATGACAGAATACAGGCTAAGACTGCTGAGAAATATGCATAAACAAAGTTAACTGAGGTGTTCCTAAACCTCTTGCTCAGTGCACCTAGCAACAAGAAAAAACCTTGGGATAGACTTCAACTGAAGCAAAACCTTCAGGCAAAGAAGACTGGCCTTAATAGTTTTCTCACTTTGACTAATTTAATGAATCCGTGAATTTTACAACCTGAATTTATATAGAGACTACTAACAAAGTAAAACATCCCAAGCTTTGACATGGAACTACACTGGATATATTGGTCATAAATCAAGTTCTTAAGAGAGGCAGAAAGAAACAAAGATATTTGCATTGGGTGAGGGGGAGAGAGAAAGAGAGGAAGAGAGACAGAGCAAAGGAGAGAGAGAAAGGAATGGAAAAGGAATTTCCAGAGATTAGTGCCTAAGCAATTGAAGACCTGGCCATCAATGCTAAAGCAACAGCAATAAGGATGGTCAAGAGGCCAGAATTGGAGCATTGTGGAGATTGTTGGGAAAAGGAACGATTGTAGTTCATTGAGAAGAGCGTTAATGGATTGTACATGTATGCATTCAGTCAAATAAAACAGAGAGAAAACACTGGAGTGGGATTGACTGGCCACAATATGTTGCCAACTAAACCAGAAGTGGAAAGAAAGAAATGCCAGCAGACAATTGGTCTGTAAATCGTTCCAATATAGAATTTATAGAATCCCTACAGTGTGGAAACAGGCCCTTCGGTCCAACAAGTCCACACCGACACTCAGACCATCCTACCCAGACCCGTTCCCCTATAACCCACTTAATCTACACATCCCTGAACACTATGGGCAATCTTAGCATGGCCAATCCACATTGACTGCACATCTTTGGACTGTGGGAGGAAACCGGGGCACCCGGAGGAAACCCACGCAGACACGGGGAGAATGTGCAAACTCCACACAGACAGTCGCCCAAGGCTGGAAGCGAACCCGGGTCCCCGGTGCTGTGAGGCAGCAGTGCTGACCACTGAGCCACCGTATGGCAAGGTATTTCACAAGGTACAGGAGAATGATGATGTTAAAACAGCAGGTAGGAAAGGTTTGCAGGGATATGGGCCAGGAGCAGGCAGGTGGGGCTAGTTCAGTTTGGGATTATGTTCGACATGGACTGGTTGGACAAAAGGGTCAGTTTCTGTGTTGTATGACTCTATGACCTTTTTATTTGTTTCAGGACTGGCTTGAGAGGTTTGTCCTCAACATGTGATTGTGGCTTATGTCTTCTTGTTTTACCTACCAATCTAATACTCTGTTGCACGACGGGGAGAACAAAGGCAATCTCATCTTTGGCTCCCATTACAGACCTAGGCCTTTCGATTTGCTTTCCCAGTTGAGAACATCTCTGGCTTCAGACCACTTACACTTATTCATTAATGGTGACATTTTTTATGGTTATGAGAAGGTTGATAAGTTCAATATGGAGAAGATCTTTTCATTTGTAAAGGTACCCAAAACTATAAATATAAATGTAAGTCACTAATAAATGTAATAATGAGTGCAGGAGAAATATCATTATTCACAGTACTGAGAATGTAGAACATGTTAGCACAAAGAATGGTTGAGGCATACAGCATAAATACAAGAAAAAAAACACTAGATAGCACATGGGACAGAAAGGAATTGAATCACAGTGACAGTACAGAGTTAGCACATTAGGCCCAACTTCACATGAACTCCCTCCTACCCTATTTTATCTATCCCATCAGCATATCTTTCCATTCCTTTCTCCCTCATGGACTGACCAGGCTTACCCCTCCAATTGGCAGTAAGGAATGGGAAGGTTAGGAAGATAGAGTTAATGAGGTTTGGGTGGCAGGAGGCTCACCTAGAGTGTAAACACCAGGACGGACTAGTTGGGCTGAAATAACCTGTTTCATTTCTCATGTAATGCTATATAACTCCAACAAAGCAACTACACACACATTATCTGATTACATTACTGTCAGTGTGTTGGACATATAAACAAATCAAGTAAGCTTCTTATACCTTTGGATATTGTTTGACCGGAATCAACACTCTTTCAGCTAATTTAATGTTTTTGTTGCTGATAACATCAAGGTATTGCTTCTCCTCTTCTTTTTTTGAGCTGTTGTTCTGGAATTGTTCAATTTCTGTCAAGAGACCAAAATATATCAAATTTAATGAAGCAATCTGTGAAGTAATTAAAACGTCAATTCCACAAACAACTTGGAATCATTCCGAGCTTGACCAATTCCACTTGTTCCTGTGGTTCACAATTTCACAAATGCATTTCCTGTTTATTTTCCTTTAAACTTTTATAGTATATGGATCGAGGGCTAAGGGGCGAGTTGTTCATTTTCATTAAAATGTTGCAGCACAGTGCTCTATAAAAACCTAACTCTCCCAGCTTGGTGCATATACTGGAGAATAGATTTCCCATTGCTGTGTCAACTGCACATATCTAGGATCTGGGCAATCACCTCATGATAATAGCACAAGAGGAGATCATTCAGCCCTCTGTGCTGGCTCTCTCAAGAAAAGCATCCCTTGCTGATCGATTCCTCATAATCCTGTAAATTGTTCCCCTTCAAGAATCATTACAGTTCTCCTCAGTCACAATCTAATCCAGGTACATCCTCTCCCAGAAGGAAATAAACCAAGAAAAAAACACAATGAACACTTGGAAATGAATGTACTGGACCTCTAATGGGATGTATACAGGTTGAGTTGCACCAGTATGTCTCAGTCACAAAGTTTGGGTTGTAAATTTCTCCTGGAATCCCAGTGGTAGTCCTGAGGTGTGCCTGAGGTGTTTAGTGACATTTCTGAACTGGTTCATTAGAAAATATTTTATAGCTCACCTCTGTCACAGTTCTGTGTGCCCGTGTCCCATTAAATTAAAACTTTCCTTTCCACACCACTAGGAACATGCTAAGATCATTCCTCAGGTGCATAATGCTGAAAACTCCTCTCTCGCTCTTTCTCTCTCTACCTCCCAATACTCCCCGATATCAACCAGAATCAGTCAACACAGCTACCCGTGTGGTTAAACATTATCCCAGCTTTTCTTCATTATTCACCAGCAAAACCAGTATTTGTTGGCCATCCCAAATTATCCTTGAACTAAGTGGCTTGCTAGGCCTTTTTAGACAGCACTTAAGTATCAGCCGTGTTGCTGTGGGTCTGCAGTCACATGGAGGTCAGGCCAAGTTGGGACAATAGGTTTCCCTCCCTAAGGGACATGAGCGAAACAGATAGGTATTTACAACACTCAATAATAATACTAGTACTGAGACCAGTTCTCAACTCCAGATTCATTAATCAAAGATAAATTCCACAACTGTGGGATTCAAACTCAGCATTATTGGATTACTAGTTCAATGATATTAGTACTGCATTATGGCTTCCCCAATCCGGTGCTAAGTAAGGAGTTCAGGGATAAATTAGAAGAGGAGCATTAATGTGAGGTATTTGTCAAATTTTTTTTAACTCAACTGAAAATTGTCCAGTGTTGGAGCTGGGTTCCCAGACATTCACATCTATTTAACGTTCTTCAAGGGCCCCTAATCTCACTAGGATGACAGTCAACACTTATGCTTATAGCTAATGTTGTGTAATTGTGTGCACGTTGAAGTCACTTATGTTTCATCAAATGCATTTCACAGGCTGTGGCATGATAGCTTTTATAAGCCTTCCATGAGGGAGGGCAAACAGAGCTGTGAATAGCTTCAATGAAGGGAAGTGTCCTGCGCAGGAAGAATCTTTGTTCTGCATTTAGTGACTGCTTTATAAATATTCATCACATTTGATTGTTTGAAAGCAGAAGTCAAGGATAAAATTTGACTAAATCTAAATCGAGAAAAAGCTAATTACTATTTTATCATCTGCAAGAGCAGCCACTGGTTTCTACTTTATTCCATTCCGAGTGGGTACTAATTTGATAATGAAAGTGGGTGTAATTACACTGTAACTATTGACACATTATTAAGAGAATAAATTACAAAATTAAGCAAGGCAATACTGATAACCAAGAAGCAATTTATCATTTTCTTCAAAGTTCACCCTTTGGAGTCAGAAGTGTTCCAATCTTCACAAAGAACATAAACAACGTGCATGAATAAACACACAATTAAAAATGGAAATCAACATCATGAATTTGCAAGTCAATGGTAAAACATGTATGTAATAATGAATTCTTTGATCTGAAACAAAATTAATCACTGCAATTTATGTCATCAATGAATGACATTTAATTATTTCAAATTCTATTGGGCATGGATCAGTAAGTGCAAGTGGTGGATGGAAATTTGAAGTTGCATGAGGTTTAGGAAGTAAGTTTGGCTGATAGTTTGCATGGGTTACTGCACATCTTCCTGTTTCATGGAAGTCTGCTCAGTTTCAGGCAATGCGAGCAATTGCACTGCAGACAAAACAGCTTGAAGATGTTATGCAGATAAATCAACAGTCTACTCCATTTAACTCTAATACTCAGCTTGGGAAATAGTCTCTCTTTTTCTGAGGTAGCAGGTGAAGATAGACATGCAGTAGACTCAGAACAGGAATAGTCTAGCTAGCTGGAGCAGCCGCCATTGTGTAGGAAAGGTGAAAATGCATTGGAAAGAGTGCAGAATGGGTCCAGGTATGAGCTTGTGTTTGATTTATTGTTGTCACATGTACCAAGATACAGTGAAAAGTTGTGTGTGATGTACAGGCACACTGTACCATACAAAGTGCATCAAAACAGAGTACAGAATACAGTGCTACAGTCACGGAGAAGGTACAGAGAGAGACATCAGAATTAACACTTGTGAGGTCCATTTAAAAGTCTGATAAGATTGGGGAAGAAGCTGTTCTTGAATCTGTTTGTACACGTAATCAAACTTTTATATCTTCTGACTGACGAAAGAGGGTGAAAGAGTTCTTCGATTATGTTGGTTGCTTTCCTGAGGCAGCAGGAAGTATAGGTGGAGCGAATGGATGGAAGGATGGTTTGTGTGATGAAAAACGTCAGTGATGACAATAGAGCGAGGTAGTTGGGACTGTTCTCCTTGGTGAGAAGGCGGCAGAGTAGGTTTGATAGGGATATTCAAAATCATGAGTGGCCTGGGCAGTAAATATGGTGCAGCTGTTTCCACTTGTAAAAGATAAAAAAGAATGAGAAGGTTTGGATTTCAAGTGATGTGCAAAAGAAGCAAGTGTGAGGCAAAAAAAAACCTTTTCACACAATGAGTTGTTAGAATCTGAAATGCACTGCCTAGAAATGAGGTGGAGGCAAGTTCAACTGAGGCATTCAAGAGGACATTCAATGGTTAAATAATGGGATGCAGAGACATGGGGAAAAAGGCAGGAGATTGGCATTAGATAGGATAGCCAGATTAAGTAATAGAGCTGGAGCAGGCATGATGGGCCAAATGGCCACCTCCTGCATTGTAATAATTTTGATTCAGAGATCTCATAGTAGCCAGAATCCATGAGGGATAACTATGTAAGTTTAAGTCCATGCAAGTAGCATTGTGCATGGATACAGCACTATTAAGACAAAGGAATTGTAATTGCTCAGTTTTTCCAGACAGCAGTTACTTGACATGAACCTGCTGCTGCTAAATAGAATCTCCTCTGGGACACTAGAATACATTTTTTAATTTGTCTCATCACCACATCCTTTTGCCTCACCCCAGCATCTCTAGCAATGTTCAACCACTCCTGTCTTCTACCCTGCCACAGATATTCCTTTCCATTTTCTCCCTGCCTCTATACTTGCTTGAAATCTGTAAAATCCACTAGCCCTACTACCGCAAAGTTCTGCATCTGTGTAGATCAGACTTCAGTATCACCATTCCCTCTTAAAAATGGAGCCATTTAATTAATATGTTAATTCGACCTTGCATGTCTCTGAGCACTAAGCCCTATCTGCTTGTGTCTGTTTATGTCCTGAGACTTGCCACTCGTTTTCTACACTTCTGAAGTTTGGCCATCTAATGAAGGTTGCAGCAGTACCAATGGCTTCTTTCTAATGCTATAGAGTTCATGTAAAAAATCTGAGAAACACCAAGTATTACACATTGGTTATTGTTAACTAAGAGGATTCAGACATAGAAAACAAATTGCATTGGAGTTACAATGTCCCCGCCACACAGAAAACCACAAACAGCCTGACTTTCAGGCACAACCTTATATTGGTATTGCACTTCACCATGTCCTTCTGGAGCTGTCTGCACTTCTGGTCATCATCCTTCTCTAACATCTCATTACTGTTGCCCAATTGGGTGGGACTGATAAGAATGGAGATCAGCAAGAGTTATCTATCTCATCAGAGCCAGGGTATCATAAACAACAGCCTCTCTTCCTGCCCTCTCACTGTTACCTCTAGTGTCCCCAGAATATTATTTCCTGACTACCACCTTGTATTTACAAGCATCCCCTCAGCAACATCAGCTGAAAATATATTGCTTTTCATGGGAAAGCTGGCAACACCTATTTCTAGCATATCTTGGTCTTGTTTCCCTAAATAATATTTCCAGAGCTTTCTGAAGGAAAGAAAACACTAACTTACTTTAGGAAACATCTTAGTGTGACACTAGATTGGTACACTGTTGCAAATAAGAGTACAATCATGTGACATTACATCACTTCCTGCAATGATCTAGACACTCATCAGCATACCAACCTGCACAGACTTAACCCTTTATCCTCTGAACTCCTCTAAACAGTTGCTCAATTATCTGGTGCTTCCCTGATGTGGTCCTAGATGAGCAGTAAGTTTCTTTAATTAAAAGCTGGGTCTTGCCATAAATTCCATTCATTTATGACCAGCTCCATCCCTCTCCCAAATCTTTGTGCCTGTACCGTCTGTTCCGAACATGGATGTTGTATCTGATGCTCTGATGAACTTCGGATTGCATATCGATGCCATCTCTAGTATTGCTTATTTTGACTGCTGTAACAGGCTGTAACTACATGCTTGTCTCAGCCCATCAGCTACTGAAAGCCTCATTCAAGCTGTTGTTACCAGTGGACTTAATTTATTCTGGGCAGGCTCCCATGTTGTACTCTGCAAAAACCTGAGATAATCCAAACTATGATGCTGCTTGGCCTGCTGTGTTCATCCAGCCCTGCACCTTGTTGTCTCATAATCCAAACTCTGCTGCCT